CGGGGAGGTTGATGAAGGGGATCAAATTGTGTTGACACTAGAAGGACTAGATAGGTGGGAGCTCGAGGCTTCCCAGTTCCTATTAGATGCATCATCAGGGTGGAACTGGAGACCTCTGTGCGGCGCTGGTGTGGGACGGCTCAACGGAGAGAGGTACTCAAAGGAGTTTCAAAACTTCAAGTTCTGTAGCATTCCCAGGTCGCAAAATTTTCCCCTTCGTTGAATCGAACTCCTAAACTTTCAATTGAATATGGTATAGTATTAATCTTGTTGGTATTTTATCGAAACGATGCGTGAAATGTTAACGAGAAAGTAAAGCATCGATCGAATGGACGAAAGCTGAACTTGTTGGCAAAATCTTCAAATGTTGTAGTATCTTGTTACCGCCATGGAAGTGAAACTCTTTCCACTGTGATGATCGCGTACCTATTCACCAGGCCGAAGGTTCGTTGCTGATGATGCTAGTACGCCGTAGGGGTATATGGTTTCTATAGTGATCGATAGCAGAGGTCTTATCGGGCAGGAGGGAGGATGCTGTGCTTTAGGGGAGCGTAATGTGGTGCACGGCAAGGTTTGGGTATCTCGCGTGCTTGGGAGTGTCCAGAAGGGGCCGACGAGGGAACTGGAAGCATTAGCGGGTAGGAAGGGCAGTTTTCAATAGTCGAATAGTGGACCGTCTGGCATTACTCACTCTTTGTAGCTGTTGTCAGCGACCATCCTCGATAAGCTGAAATGGTCTGTAGTCGTTATAGGGGCTGAGGAAGCAGGGGAGTTATATAGTCGATTAGAATTAGTAGAAAGTGTCCCTCCTGATGAGTGACGTGCTTTCAGATGGACTACAGCGGAAGGTGGCTGAGCTGTTCCAACTGGAAAAGAGACTTCAGGTTGGGGAGAGGGTGTCGGAGTTGGGTTCAATACTGTTGGTTTAGGGCCTCGCTCATGGCGGTAAAATTGGGGGGTTGCCGGGGCCTTTGGGAGGGCTCATAACATCTCTGTGGAATAGTGGACGGGAAGGGGGTGGGGCGGCAGGGGAGGGGGTACTAGTTTGAAGAATGGTGGTGGTCAGGGGAGGATAGGGAGACTGCCATCACTGAGGTCCCGATGAAGGCTGACAAGTGCTCGTTGTTTGCCGATATCATATGTGCAACGTTGAAGGTGAGTATGGAAAAATGCCGCTGGGTGGATTTGAACCTGGGTGCCGCTGTCACTCCCGATCTGCAATTCTCGCATGCTCCAGCTTATCAGTTGGGTTGGAGAAAGTGGCGATGGTGTGGTATATCAAGCCCGTAGGATGTCTGAATTCTCAGGATGTGCCGATGGTCGCTCGACAGCAGGCTTTGGAGTGCCTCTGCATTGAAGATAGAGTGCACATGGCGACGAACATGGTGGCGGAGCGGAGAGAGGCGCTGTTGGTGACGAGCCGAGTTAGAGTGGGGACTCATCCTACTGGGATTGTCTTGTCCTCGTAATGGAGTTGTCAGGGTAACATGAGGAGGCAAGCGGACATGGACGTGCGGGAGAGGGTGATAAGGAGGCAGATCGAAGAGCTCCAGAAGGAGCTTAGGAAAATCAGTAAGGAAAGGGCCCGTTGGAGAGTGTTCGTGATGGTAATGTTAGGTGGGGGGAATGAGGCTGCCGAGGACGAGGTTACGTCCATCGTGAACAAACTGGCCGCTATCCCCCTGCCTGAGGACATGAGGAGGGTAGGGCTGTTGGGTTAGGGAGTAGAGAGGAGGGCGATGCTGTCTAGGTATGCGATAGGGAGATCCACAAACTGCAGAGTACGCCGACAACTCATCCTGACTATACTGTGACCAGGTTAGACCTGAGAGGGGTCGTCTATAGTAGTGGTGTTGTTGGCGACCTCTTATAGGCTTTGGCTTGAGAGTGATAAGCGTGAGTATTTCAGGACCTACTTGGAGACGGTGGCGTCTCTGCCGTGGTCATTGGAAAGCTCTGAGGCGGTCATTGATCTCGATAGAGCAAGGGAGGTCCTTGAGAGAGATCACTTTGGGATGACTAAAGTAGTGACAGTTGTATCACCTTCACTGGTTATCAAAGACTACTGTAGTGAATCGCTTGAGTAGGAAAGCATAGCTCTTGTAACTGCAGAAGATGATCAGCAACTTCAGTTGAGATATTTTACAGGTCAAAAAAAGGGTCAGGGAGTTCTTAGCAGTGATGAAGCTGCACCAAGCGAGGGGCGGCTCTCAAGGCGATGAGTAACGAGGAAGCATTCTGCAATGGTCCCCTTCAATTCTCATCTCATGTTAGGGAAGCGAGAGTGGCTAAGGGGGAAGGTCGAGACGTGGGGTTACCGGTGGTCAACAGGAGGGGTCCTCCTGGACCGGTCATGTGCCTCGTGGGCCCCCCGGGTGAGCACGTTGGTGTGAGAGTGGATCTCACACTTGTATTGGTGTGGTTAGAGGGTTGCACATGTCTACAATGAGACTCTTGAAACATGCCACTCTACGGCACTTGACCATTTTGTCTCTGGAGTAGTTCATGGAATATTGTATTGCTCTGAATGGGCAACTGTGTGTCGATTTAGGTGTTGGTAAGACTTCACTGTGTAGGAGTATAGCAGAAGCTTTGGGTAAGAGGTTCTGTCGAGTGTCTTTGGGAGGGGTACGCGATGAGGCGGAGATACGCGGGCACAGGTAGGCTCTATGGGGTGGTGATCATGATGAGCGTCGTATTCTGAAGCCTCGCGACGCGGTCGGTGAGGATGGATT